TTGTGTTAATGCCTTCGTTTACTCCAGAGCCTTGACCAGCAAAGCCACTAAGGGTGCCACATGACGGCAACTTTATCGAAGCACATAGAACGTACAACGTGCCCCGTCTTAAAAAAAGATAGAAAGGAAAAGCCAGTCGATCGTTGGTGCGGGAAATGCGTAAAATCATGTGCTAATAGCAGAGGTTGATTTTGTGAAGTAAAGTATTGACTATAAGCTGTGCTGCCACCGCGAGTGACAGACAACCATTCGGTTGCTGAGAAAGTGGACTATCAGTTTTACACATTCGCGTAGGAACTGTTACACATGGCCACATAAGATCGGTGAGCCCTAAAACACCGTCAAGCAAAATCGGTAGCGGACTCCACTACTAAATTAGATAGATGGTCGGCAACAGTAGCGTAGTCTTCTTTAAAAGCCGATTGGTTCGTTGGTCACTGAACCTAGACGGTAGAAACACAAATTCCGCAATGGTTTAGCTCTTAATGATGCAAGCCAGGTTCCATGGCAATTCTACGTAATGAATCTTTGGCTAAAAACATCGGCCGTCGATCGAACAAACAACCACATAGGTCGCTACATTACTAAAGTTAAAGAACATACACAAATCAGCCCGTATGCCTCCCGCAAGAGCACACTACCCTCGTGTGCCAGCCGTGAACACTGCAGATTGGTTGGTCACTTTCCATTAGATTCCGTCTATCGCTGTCCTGGTAAACGAAAGTTATCAAAGACTGTAAATGAAAAAGTAGCCTAGATTAATGACGCCAGACGAAAGATCATGCAGTCGCTTGCGATACCACTGCCCCCGTCACCGTACTGCAGACTCTTCATATCGTTGTGCCGCTCTCAGCCTAACGCAAAACCACTGCGATACAGTCAGCAGTGCACCGCAGTCACGGTCAGGAGTAGGTAGGCTCGACTGATGGTCGGGTGCCTGGCCCATCATGTTTCCCAGGTAGATAAATGCGTATCACGCTGTGGTAAAAAAACACAAGACAATGTTGAAGCGTGGTAACTTAAATGTAGATACAGCCGTCAAAAATAAAAAGACACATGGCGCTGCGGGCCGAAGAGACAGAAAAGCATATCAGTGCTGTAGAATAAACTTCATAAAAGACTGCTAAAGCAGAAACCAGTCATCGAAATGCAGGGTAGACTTATACCGCTTACAACTGTTACAAATTATCATTTCAATCAAAATGAGGACACTGGATTCATGGCCACGGTAATATAGCAACATCGTGGATAGACATGTTAGCGATGTATCTACAAGCAAATGGTCGAAAACTGCTGCCATTACCAGCGTGCTGCTGCCTCTAACATTTCGCCGAGATGTCTTAAAGTTTTTGCAGAAGAGAAAACAAGTCAATTAATGCAACAAGTCAGCCATATGCTTAACTACAAACTTAAGTCCTGTTTAATAAAGCTGTGGCAATAAGGTGCAACACTGACACTGCCTCTGTATACATACGAACGAACGTTTGTCGAAGGTCATTCACAGCTACTTGTGGAAGTTCAGAATACCGGCGAAGTAAGAGTAAGTAAGCAGAGCTGAAGCACATACTCATCTATTATTCCCTGCACCGCCATCGACAGGCATTTTCACTCTGCTGCATAACATCTTCGGCATTTCGGCTTACAGTGCACTCTGTCTGCCCGCTGTTGAATCACGCGAATTTTCGACTATGAAAACTTCGCACTGTCACGTCCGTCAAATTCAGAACAGGCATCATTTGAGAAAGGAGAATATTAAGAGGTCTCAATGAGGTACGTGCAGAAGTAGTTATGTAACGAATTCCAGCGACCACGGCTCGAGCAATCGGCATGACGGTTCGCGTCATTTTCTGTCATATTCTTACACACTTTGCACCGTAAGGTGCTTATCGACAGACTAACAAAATAATGACGGTTTTGAAATGAAAGTTTGCGAAAACTGATCTCTTCTCCTTAACTAATAAATCCGGAAGTTCGGGGTCATGAAGAACATACATCACAAGAATTATCCAGAAGTGCAGCAAAAGGAAGCAGATCAGTATAA